ACAGACTACAGCTGATGTTAGGAGGAAGACGCAGGAGTGGGATACAAGAGTGGTGGCCAGGGCGCAGTATTAATAGTATAGAAAGGCTCTACTTATAAGGTGCCAGTAAGCCTGACGATCAGAACAAAATAAGCCCCAAATACTGGGAATTGAATCTTACTTATGACTCAAATAGCAAGAACATCTATTTAGAAAAACGTATGGTTTGTCTAAGTAAGCCATTAGGCCATCCTCACAAGGTTGCAGCCTGAGTCATAAGAGAGGTCCAAGATCCATTGAATGCTTTTTTCAAGAGCCCAGTGTCTTGTATTTTGAGACATTGTTTGATAACATAAATAATTTCTAGAGTGTCTTGGTGAGTCCTTGATTCTGGCTTCAGGAGGATCATGTATGATAGGATGAGTAATTTGTCTATATAAGGTTCTACCATGGTCTGAGCACAGCAAGTAGCCCAGCAGAGGGGTTGAGGAGCCCTAAACGTCTATTTGTCATCAGCTGTAGGGACCCCTTCCTCCACCTGGACTTAATGTGCATGGATTATATTTCCTGTGACGTGTTTTTCACACCAGGTGCAGTGGTCAGTCACTAAGTTATCCATGGTATGGGAGGGAAGTCCCTGGAATTTTGCCTCGACATTTAGGTTAGAGACCTCGTAATGGTTTCACATCACAGGGGCACATGGGCCAAGATTAATGCCATCAGGTCTGAGGTGTCAGTATGTGTCTCAGAAATTTGAGTGAATTTATCACCCTGAGCAATGAAATAAGCCTCTGCACACTGAAGTTTAATATGTGCAGAGTAAGTGGTGACTTTGATTCGTACTTGGGGATTGTGAGGCAGGATATCCCAGAGTTCTTTATGCTGAAGGGGGTGACCTTGGAGAAGGAGTTGTTGCTAATGGTAAGATGAGACAGCTAGATCATTGGCAAAGGCCCAAGGATTTGTAAAAATGTGAAGACGAGTTTGATTCTAGGCCAGGGAATTCTCTATTGCTAGCACGATTACCTGGAGTTTGACTAATCAATCTGATCCAATCTGTGATCAGGGATGGCCTGTTTGATCCAGGGAAAGGACACAGCAACTCTGCAGTGGACCCCATCAGGTGTGGTGGTGCACACTGTTCATAAAGTCTATGAACTCCCTGGTCATTCATGTGCTCCCAAGTCACTGCCAAAGTGGAAAATGTCTAAAAAGGAGGTGACCTCCTCCAGAATGTATTACGTCAATCAGAGAAGAGGGGAACACACTTCCTCCTGTAGGTGTGATAATGCCAGAGATGTCATTTTCGGCTCTATCCTGTAAGTACCCATATCTTTTCAATGAAAAGGCTTCTGGGTAGCAAGCCTGAGCGGTCCTGCATTCATGACCCAAGAGAAAATGGGAAGCTGGCTGTGGAGGATCAATTTAGGCCCTGGGAGGGCCTCCATTTACATAAAGACTTTGTCATTTGCCATCAGTGGCTTCTCTAATTGTGTGCAGCACTGGATGAGAAAAGTTTCCATACAAGAATGCCTTGGACAAATTTTGTCCACTGTGAGAGGTTTAGAGACTCCTGTGTGCATAATGGGGGGCTGCTAAAGCCTCTATGGTAAAGGGTTGTGTGGAGTGAGACACGAATGGCCTGTTATTTTGACAAATTCTAGAGCCATTTGTTTCCACATTCAGTGTCAGTCACTTTTAAGGGTTGTGTAAGAAAGCTAATCTGATAAATATGTGACAGCTGGGACAGCTGTGGCTGACGAATGTTCCCATGACATGGGTTCTACCACTTGTCACCCTCTCAGCTCACAGGGCACCAGCACTGTCTGAGGGACATTTTCCAAAGTGGCACATGTAAATTTCTAAGTTGTTTCCAAATAAGCAGGCGTAAGTAGGCTTGAGTTGGGAAATGAAGAGCTGGAAATGGTCTGTGGGTAACAATGGAAAGAAGTGATGCTGCTGCACACGGATGAGGCTGTCCCCAGACAGACCCCACTTAGGAGACACCTTTTTGTTTCAGAACCACAGTATTTCTACAGATCTGTCCACAGAACCTGATTTAAACTCAAAGATTCTGGGAGCCCTCTCACTTCACTCCTAGTTATGAGTATGAGATGAGGGCAGGGGCAACCCTAGGGTGTGTTTTCTCAATTAAGACAGGGTTGCGGGCCGGCCCTGTGGCTTGGTGGTTAAGTGCGCGCGCTGCGATGCTCGTGGCCCGGGTTCGGATCCCGGGTGCGCATCGAGGCACCACTTCTCCGTTCATCCTGAGGCCGAGTCCCACGTACAGCGGCTGGAGGGATGTGCAGCTACGGCGCACAACTGTCCACTGGGGCTTTGGGGGGAAAAAATAAAATAAATAAAATCTTTAAAAAAAAAAAAAAGAAAGACAGGGTTGCAAGAAGGGCCTGTTGAGGACTGAATTCTTCTTTTCAGTCTTTCAATTCTTCCTAAGAAAGATCGCACAGTGCTAGAAAGAAGTACTGACTGCATAAAAATCAGGGATCAAGAGAGTTTAACATTCTCCTAACATATGAAAGTGATTCTGTTATTCACTTTCCACTAATTATATGAATATATATTTTAGGTGTACTTGTAAATTCTCACAAATGTATAGTAATACCGCCTTCAAAAGATGGAAAATATGCCATCTCCAGAACACTCTTGTGGTGCTCATTTGAACAAAACCCCTCCAATCTGTAAGTTAACACCAAAATAAAATGGAAAAGATTAATGCTTTCTTTTGCAATTTATTAAACTTTGTAGTTGTTACTGTTGTTTCCCACTTTTCAACATGGGCTCAATATCTAAGCATATGGAAATAAAACCTGTGAACAGCAAAATGGGCTACAGAGCTTTGTGGATCATTGAAATGAAAGACTTCCAGCTACTCCTGTAATAAGAAGACACTATTTCCCACTTCTCCTCTTATACTCCATTCGGATATTACTCAAAATACCCTCTTCCCGCAGCTCACCTCAATCATTCCTTGGATGACTGCCTCTAACACCCATAGGTCTTTTTGGGGTTTCCACAGGGAGGTCACAGTGGACTCACACAGATATCACTCTACTCCTGGAACACACTCAGGATGAGCTGGAGCAGTGCAGAGGAACACAACTGTTTCTCTAAATGGGAGGAACCCCATGATTTATATTGCACACTCAGTCTGTACAGCAGTAAAATGAAAATGCCAAAGACTATAATAGTTTAAATACTTAAAGGTAAAATAAAAATCCTCTCAAATGACATTAAATACAAAAAGAAAACACAAATATCTGTGGCTTAAATCCACAGGAAGTCTCAAGTACCAGATAACAATAATGATATCCTCAATTATTGAGGCTCCTATTCTCACAGAAAAGACATACACACACACACCTCAGCCTCCCTATTAGCTCAATGTTATTTTTTACTTCCCTTCAAAGCCCTTATTTCCATCTTATCAGACACAGCTCTACCATTTGTTAATCATCTTTTTCCCCACAAACATATAAGCACGCTGACTGCAAGAAAGTGTTTCATGCTATTATATCTAAATCCTACCCTGCCTTATTTCTGCTAAATTGGGTACTTTGATTTTAAAGTGCATGTCATGTGAAAGATAGTGAAATATTAGCATCAAAAGCATCACGTCTGAGAAGGAAAGGCTTGACTGGCATAGTGGTCCTGTCTCTCTCTCTTGCTAGGTTTGTGCTGTCTCACAATTTACCTAAACTCAAAGGCCTCAGGTGAGTCATAAAGGAGAAATTAAAAACATTATGTAGTATACTAAGTAGTGAATTTATGTATTTTAACTGAAGTACTTCATGGTCAACAGTGTCTAATACACTGTAGGAAATACATCAGTGTTTTGATAATAAGCAGGAAAGGAAAAAGCTGTCCCAGAGGACCAGGAGCTGCCTGCTGTCACTGCAAGGCCAAGTCTCATCCTGAAGAGAAAATGTCACTCATCTCCTTCATCAAAGGTACACAGTTACCAAGAGAAAACTGACAGTATTTTGTAATCATACCAGTAGAAATGGTAAAAGATAAAATTCTAAATCAAAAATGACTAATATTCCCTTCTTACTAGAGTGACTGACTGGAACTTCTTACACATTAACTTTAGCTCCACTACATTGGTATTGCTTTCTAGAAAACAATAATTAGGCTTAACAAAAATAAAATATTTATTAAAGATAGAATTAAGTTTACCTCCTCACATTCAATACAGAAAATGACCTGCTTCCTTGAATAGCAATCAAATCAACAAATACATTCCAAAATCTTGTAAAATTTTCTCCTTCTGAGCACCCTGTCACTGTTATACCTCACAGTCCTTTATGGTCTGTGGTCAATCTTACTAGAATTTACTACACCCCTCTCCTGACTACAGGTGCAATCCTGCAGGTCACTGGCAAGAGGGCACTGAAAAAAAACATGATTTGTAAGTTTTGGCTGAAGAATGAATGAGAAATTAGTTTTGTGACAAAAATCATAACTATAAAAGAATAAAAAATAAAGTGAGGAAAAACATCTGAACTTGTATGCACATGACAAAAATCACTCATAATGTACAATGAATAAATAAATAAAATTGCAAAGTATATCTGAAAATCCACAATTAAAATAGATTTAACATATTCTGAGGAAATGAAAACCACAATTATATTTATTAGCATATGATGGATTAGAACAGTTAATAAAATACATCATGACACAACTAGAGAACCATTCATTTCACAAAGAAATGCACATAGTTTTAATGACATACAATCAAACATTATTGAAAACATATTGAGGGAGCATGTTTGGCTACAAGTTACAGGAAGCACAGTCTTCCTGACATGAGAAAGGTGATTGTTCTCATGTGGAAGAACTGGGTCAAGGCAGCCACTGCACAATGCAGCAGAGAAACAAACACCCACATCCCTTTTTTTACTGCCCCATTGTAGATGTCATGGTGAAGCAGGAAAACACGCTCACTGGAACTATTAACTAACAGCATAAGGTGTTTCCTATACACATTAGACCTTATACAGATATCATCTAGAGAAGAGGGGAATCAGAGAATACTCCCAACCACAAAAGTCTGAATTAGTTTCCTGGCGGACACAAGAGGGCTTACAGAAAAATCCTAACTCTAATGGATCTTGGATGTGAAACTTGTGAAAACATAGTGGAAAATACACTTCTAAGAAAATGGAATCCAAACAGTTGGTGGTGGTTTTCAAGATACTCTTGACTAAAAGGGCAAAGAATCCAGAAAACGGGATGGAAGGTGGTTTCTTTGAAGCGCCTATGTAACTGTCTGTCTCCCAGTATGGTGGCTCCAAAATCTGCCGAATGCCTTGTTTGCTTCTCCCTTCCAAATCTCATACAAGTGAGGCTACTGGTGAATTCCAACATGGGACCATAAAGGGGATGGATTCTTGAAGATCTGGTTTTTCATGTTACCCTCACTTACATAACACAATACAGGGGTGATACGTCCAGCTCTAGATTTTGCTGCCCTATCACAGGCCTCTACTTAATTCAAGGTCTATTCACCAAATACTAGTCAGAAGGAAAGACAAAGAGAAAAGGCCAAAATATGAAAATAACAATTCACTGGAAAGTATACTCTTTGATAAAGTTGTCATACATAAAAATTTATTCCGACCCTTTAATAGTGTGGAAAATAAAAGCAGGCTCCTACACTAACCACCCCCAAAAAAGGAGCTTTCTATAAGAAAGGAACAATATATACAACACATAGGCATATCCAGGACTGCACTACAAGGCCAATAAGAAAATCCCAACAAATACAAACTCTCATTTTCCAATGGCCCCTTAACACAGAACAATTAAAACACTACAAAATATTAAAGAGAAAATATTATTAACTGATTTAAGGAAAAAGAACTATCTAGTATGCTTCTGTACCATTGATAAAGGATGACTTGCAGAATTATCTCACTTCAGTATTCATTTCTGAAAATAACGAACAGAAATCCACAATCCAATGTTGCACTCTAAGAAAGAGGCTTAGTAAACAATATATTTACAACTTTTATAACAAATCTTCCATGTTGAAAGTTTTCTAGAACATTACACACAAGTTAATTTCCATCAACCTTTCTCTTGTTACTTACATTTATATTTCTTTTTGGTGGGAGTTTCATATAGAAGGATGTAGGCCTATTGAAGTCTTTCCCATGCTGTTTACTTTCAAGAGGTTTTTATCGAATGAGTCCTTTCATGCCTTCAAAAAGAACTCAGATGCGAAAGCCTTTCCCACATTCTTTACATTTACATGGTTTTTCCTCTAGTGTGCATTGTTGCATATTGTTGAAAGTTTGCATAAGAAGTAAAGGCTTTCCCACTTTCCTGACATTCATAGGATTTCTCTTCAGTATAAGTTCTTTTATGTCTTCAAAGAGAACTGAGAAAACTAAACACTTTACCACAATTTTTACATTGCTACATGTTCCCTCCAGTGTGATTTCATTGATGTATCTGGAAACTTTGATGACAACTGAAGGCCTGCCCAAATTCTTTACATTCATAGGGTTTGTGTCTAGTGTGAGTTATTTCATGTCTTTTAAGTGAACTGGGAGAGATGAATGCTTTCTCACATTCCTTACATTTATAAGGTCCATCTCCAGTGTGAGAGATCATGTGAGATCGAAGGCTTGAGGGAGCTATAAAAGCTTTCCCACATTCCTTACATTGATAGGGTTTCTCTCCCATATGAATCCTTTCATGTACTCGAAGAGAACTGGAAGAAGTGAATGCTTTACTGCAGTTTTTACATGCATAGGGTTTCTCTCCCGTATGAGTTCTTTCATGTTTCCGAAGAAAACTGGTACGACTGAATGCTTTACTGCATTCTTTACATACATAGGGTTTCTCTCCAGTGTGACTCCTTTCATGTCTTTGAAATGCACTGCGAGAAATGAATGCTTGCTCACATTCCTTACATTTATAAGGTCCATCTCCAGTGTGAAAGATCATGTGTGATCGAAGGCTATAGGGAGCTACAAAGGCTTTCCCACACACCTTACATTGATAGGGTTTCTCTCCAGTATGAATTCTTTCATGTACTTGAAGAGTACTGGAAGAAGTGAATGCTTTACTGCAGTTTTTACATTTATAGGGTTTCTCTCCAGTATGAGTTCTTTCATGTATTCGAAGACCACTGGTACGACTGAATGCCTTACTGCATTCTTTACATTCATATGGTTTCTCTCCAGTGTGACTTCTTTCATGTCTTTCAAGTGATCTGAGAGAAATGAATGCTTGTCCACATTCCTTACATTTATAAGGTCCATCTCCCGTGTGAAAGATCATGTGTAATCGAAGCTTATAGGGAGCTACAAAGGCTTTCCCACATTCCTTACATTCATAGGGTTTCTCTCCAGTATGAATTCTTTCATGTTTTCGAAGAGAACTGGAAGAAGTGAATGCTTTACTGCAGTTTTTACACTCATAGGGTTTCTCTCCAGTGTGATTTCTTTCATGTATTCGAAGAAAACTGGAAGAATTGAATGCTTTACTGCATGTTTTACATTCATAAGGTTTCTCTCCAGTGTGACTTCTTTCATGTACTCGAAGAGAACTGTAAAAAGTGAATGCTTTACTGCAGTTTTTACATTCATATGGTTTCTCTCCAGTATGAGTTCTTTCATGTATTCGAAGAAAACTGGGAAACGTAAAGGCTTTCCCACATTCCTTACATTTATATGGCTTCTCTCCATATTTTTGATAGTCATACGGTTTACGTTCCCTGTGACTTACAACGTGCCTATTAAGGGATGAATGATGCATGAGGACTTGTCCACATGCACTGCAGTTGCATAGTTTAGCTCCAGTAGTTTCATTGTTCAGATTGAGATTTGGAATAAGGCTGAAGTTTTCTCCACATTGACTACCTTCTTCACTTTCACCGAGTCCCCCTACCATATGACTACTGTAAAAAATGAAAAGCACATTATTAATGATTTCTTTATTAATGACTTTATATTTATTATATTTATTATGGTTTATAGGAAAAGTTTATGTTGTCTGCCTTGTCTGCATTCTCTGGAATTGAATATAGTGAACACTGTGCAAGAGGACCTTACACTTGCTATTGTAAAAACAGTGATATTCATACATAGGATTTTTTTTTTTTTTCCCCCAAAGCCCCAGTAGATAGTTGTACGTCATAGCTGCACATCCTTCTAGTTGTATGTGGGACGCGGCCTCAGCATGGCCAGAGAAGCGGTGCGTCGGTGCGCGCCCGGGATCCGAACCCAGGCTCCCACCAGTGGAGCCCGCGCACTTAACCACTAAGCCATGGCGCCGGCCCATACATAGGATTTCTTAATACTGCTTCCAAGTGAACTATTTGGCAAGAACTGAACCTCTACTTCACATTTCAGGAAGTATTTGGTGAAAATTTTCTAAGAATATCTAAATTTGAAGCAAGGGTTATTTGTTTTGTTTACTTCTTTTTAAAATTTCATAACATACCAGGATTCTCACGTGAGACACTACTTTCTCTAGTGAGTGTGACTCACCTTAGTTGTCTCCCCTGGTCTTTATACTGATCATCAACATCATGATCTTCCCATATTTTTCCTGAAATGCAGAACCAGAAAGTTGATTCCAAAGTATTAGAAGCTACAGAAAAATTTTTAGATTCCATGATGAGCTGTGACCATTTCTAGTTTATTTACCAACATCTGTCCCTTTCTACATTCTACATTTTGGAATAACATAGGCAGGGAACACTTGTTCTCTACTTGATGAAGTGATGGAATGCCCTCATTCTTACCTATAGAGGCCAGGTTCCAGAAGGTGTCCCACATCACATCTATGTAGAGTTTCTTCTGTGAAGGATCCAGTAAAGCCCACTCCTCCATGGTGAAGTTCACAGCCACATCTTCAATGTCCACTGAGTCCTAAAACATCACAAATATGTGTAGAGTAGGATGCATAAGACTGACAGCAATGGACATCCATAGTCCATTTGTGGGAAGGTTACATATGATTCTGTCATCTCCAAACATTTATTCGATGATGTGATCAACAAAAACTCACTGTTTTTCTGTACACACTTCCTCATCAATTTAACGGCATCAGGAACACATGGAAATTGTTTACATATTTCTACTGTAATCACATTACATCATATTTCTCTGTAACAGCAAGGTCCAGAGGACCTTGGAAAATGACAGAAATGCCATACAAATGAAAAAAAATTATCATTTTAAGACCAATGATTCCTTGTAAGAAAAATTCTTTCTTCTTCCTTATTACCCACCAGTTACAGCACTCCATGAGGCAGAGAGTCAAATCTGCATGAGGTTTCAATGAATAAAAACACAGTGAAGAAATGGAAGCTTTTTTGTATAGTCCCATCATCAAACATGAGAGTCCAGGAGGCCTGTAGAAATCAAACTTATAACAAAGCCCAGCTGGCCACATTGTCCTAAAGTACTTCAGCCCACTACAAATAACCAGATGCAGCTGGGTGAACGTAAATATTCTTGTGAGGAAGCATTGCTTTTAACTTCTGTAATATTTATCATAGACTCAGTTCTTCCTTTCTCTCCCTGTATGATTTGATGGGGCTAGAAAATTATTTGGAACTTAGAGCTCAGACATAAGGAAAAGGGCACGTAAACACCATAAAGTCCCTATATTCATGTGCCTAAGGTTACTTCTTGCCAATCTTTTGAACACACAGTCAGATAATAATGTGCAATAAGAGCTCTTTCTTGTCAAAAGCTAACAGTGTACCCTGGGCCTTGCTGTCCTTGAAGAACAGGTGAAGAGCAGCAGATTTCAAGGGCGTTCATTGAAGTCCACAACAGTTTGATGGTAAATTTGCCCATGATTATAAAATATGTGAAGGATTTAAGAGTGCTTTCCTTCAAAAGAATGAAAATCTCCATTCTCCAACTTCAAGAGGAAAGGTTTCCTGACCAGCCACTCTGATGCCCTGCCAACATCTGATCTCACATGTAAGGAACTTAGAAGCTGTCATTCTTGACTTCACAAGAAGGAAACAAACTTGAAGTGAACAACTCTCCTTAGATCCATGTGAGCCTTCAGGTCATAGGATAAACCGGTGTCTCCAAAATTAGGAAGGAGAAAAAAAGATGGCATTTTGAAATATGCCCCAGATAGTCTGTTCTCAACAAGGACTGTACTAAACAAAAAATCTATTTCACCAGAGTCTAATGCAAAGACAAAGAGAACAAAATATGGAACACGAAATCCATGAAGCCTAGCACAATTCTCTTTAACAGAAGGTTTAAAATACACATAATGGGGATACCAGAAAGAAAGAAAAGAAAGACATAAAGAAACAGAAGAAACAAGTAAAGTAATAATCACCAATATATCCTAAATTTAATGATAGCTGGCAAACTGTACATCCAGGAAGCTCAGAGAACACTAAAAACGGTAAACTACAAAAGTGCACACCCAAGGATATCATATTCTCACTAAAGAAAAATCAAAGACAGAGAATATATTGAGAAATGCCAGACAAGAAACACATCTTAGGTATAAAGAAACAAAGTACTGAATTAAGTGGACTTCTTTTCAAAAACCATGCAAGCAAGAACAAAGCAGAGTGAAATATTTAAAGTTTTGAAAATAAAAAAACACTCCCCTCAAATTCCCTGTGAAGCAAATTTATTCCTCAAAAATAACGGAGAAATAAGGACATTCTGAGACAGAAATTGATGGAATTTGTCATGAGTACACCTACATTGAATGAAATGTTCAAAAATTTATCATAAGGAATATAAAAGATAAAGGTAGAGGATGATAAAAGGAAAAAATGAAGGTAAAATATCTTTTATATTTTCTATAATATAACAGATGACACATTGTTTAAAATAATATTAGCAACAATGTATTTGGTAATGAGAAGCTTATGGACAAATGAAATAAATGACAGCAATGTGACAAGGGATGAGGAAGGGAGAATTGGGAATAGTGTGTTCAGAGGTGCCTGCACACAGTGAAGTGGTATAGTGTTATTTGGCAGAAGAGTGGTTAGTTGTAAATGTATGCTGAAGAATCAAGAGCAACTACTAAAAAATGTTTTTAAAAAAATGTGTAACTGAGGAGTGACATCAGCATCATGGTGGAGTGAGTTTTCCTCTTAGACTCTTTCCCCCTAAGATACAACAAAAAAGACTTTCATATACCAACAGAGGACATTCACACAACATAAAAGATGTCTGAGAGACCTATGCAGCCTTACATCTGAAGGTGGAGGTGCTGGAACCCCCAGAGGAAGTGGAAGGAGATAAGGAGAACTCTCCATCCCCAATGGCAGTGACGCCAGGACCGGGACCATGCAGCTCTCAGAGAGAGAGGGGGGAGGGGCAGCCCTTCATGGGAAAACTGTCACTCTCCAAGTTCGCTCACAGCCTGTGGGAAACTCCCACATGAAGGGGACTGAAATGTTGTAGGGTAGTCTTCATCAAGTTAGCACCCCAGGAGAGCAGATAGTGAGGGAAGAGCAAGAAGCCCCCCTGCCCAGTGCTTCAGCTCAGACAGTCAGCCAGAGTGCCCACAGATCACAGCAGGCTCAGAATACACAGCTCTTGACCCCCATCCAATGGCAGCAGGTGGAAGCTGTGACCAGATATTATCAGTATGAGGAAACACAAACCCATGCCCCCAAAGAGTATGCAAAAATATATTAAATCTCTAGACCAGAGGGATAATGACAAGCACCCAGAAATCAAGCCTGACGGCACAGATATTTATAATCTAAACGACAGAGAATTCAAAATAGCTATCATAAAAAATCTCAATGAAACAAAAGAACACAGATAGACAATTCAATGAAATCAGGAACTTCTTCACAAAAGAGATTGAAACTATAAAGAAAAACCACTCAGAAATGTTGCAGATGAAAAACATAATGGAGGAGATAAAGAAAAATATGGAATCTTTACAGAACAGAGCTGACAATATGGAGGAAAGAATTAGCAATATAGAGGATAGAAATGCAGAACTGCTCCAGATGGAGGAGGAAAGAGAACTAAAACTAAAAAGAAATGAAGAAATTCTCCAAGAAATATCTGACTCAATTAGGAAATGCAACATAAGGATTACAGGTATTCCAGAGGGACAAGAGAGGGAAAAAGGAGCAGAGAGCTTGTTCAAAGAAATAATAGCCGAGAACTTCCCAAACCTGGGGAAGGAGCTGGAAATACCAGTGAATGAAGTCAACAGATCTCCTAACTATATCAACATAAAAAGACACTCTCCAAGGCATATAGTAGTAAAGCTGGCAAAAGTCAATGACAAATAAAAAATATTAAGGGCAGCAAAACAAAAAGAAATAACGTACAAAGGAATTCCTATCAGGCTTTCAGCAGATTTCTCAGCAGAAATTTTACAGGCTAGGAGACAGCGGAATGATATATTCAAAATTCTGAAAGATGAAAACTTTCAGCCAAAAATAGTCTATCCAGCAAAAACATCCTTCAGATATGATGGAGACATAATAACTTTCCCAGATAAACAAAAGCTAAGGGAGTTCATTGCCACAAGACCACCACTACAAGAAGTGCTCAAGAAGGCCCTCATGCCTGGAAAAAAAAGAGAGAAAGGGCATACAAAGCCTTGAGTAAGGATAAAAATATGTAGACAAAATCAGAAAAATTGCAGCTCTCTATCAGAATAGGTTAGCAAACAATTACAACATCAAAGATAAAGGGAAGGAAAACACCAAAAACAAATATAACCTCATCACTTTAACCAGAAACTCGCAACACAAGATGGAATAAGTTGTGACAATAATAACTTAGAAGGGGAAGAGGAAAGGGATGGAATCAACTTAGTCTAAGGAAATAAGAGGCCATCAGAAAATGGCCTATATCATCTATGAGATTTTTTATACAAACCTCATAGTAACCACTAAACAAATAACCAGAACAGAGACACAAATGAAATATAAAGAGAAATCTAAGAAAACCATCATACAGAACTACCAAACTGAATTGGTAGTATGAAACACATGGGACAAGAAACAAAGGAAATGCAGAAGAACCAGAGAATGAGTGATAAAATAGCAACTTTAAGCCCTCATATATCAATAATCACTCTAAATGTAAATGGATTGAGTTCTCCAATCAAGAGACACAGAGCGGCAGGATGGATTAAAAAACAAGACCCAACAATATGCTGCTTCCAGGAACCACATCTCAGCTCTCAAGACAAACACAGGCTCAGAGTGAAAGGATGGAAGACAATACTCCAAGCTAATGGCAAATAAAAGAAAGCAGGTGTTGCCATACTTATATTAGACAAAGTAGACTTCAAGATAACAGGTAATGAGAGACAAAGAGGGGCAACATATAGTGATAAAAGGGACACTCCATGAAGAAGACACATGACATAAATATATATGCATCCAACACAGGAGCACCAAAGTATATAAAGCAACTATTAACAAACCTAAAAGGAGATATTAACAACAACACAATAATAGTAGGGGATCTTAACACCCCACTGACATCAATGGATAGATTATCCAGACAGAAAGTCAATAAGGAAATAGTGGACTTAAACAAAAAACAAGACCAGATGGACTTAATATATAAATATAAAGCACTCCATTCAAACACAGTAGATTACACATTCTTCTCAAGCACGCATGGAACATTCTCAAGGATAGACCATATGTTGGGAAACACGGCAAGCCTCTATAAATTTATGAAGATTAAATCAAAACAAGTATCTTTTCCAACCATAATGCTATGAAACTAGAAATCAACTACAAGAAAAAAACTGGGAAAGGGACAAAGATGTGGATACTAAACAACATGCTACTGAGCAACAAATGGATCACTGAAGAAATTAAAGGAGAAATCAAAAAATATCTGGAGACAAATGAAAATGAAAATACATCACACCAACTCATATG